TGAGGATGAGTTCAGACAAATCACATTCCTCATAAACTATTTATGCCAACATGGGTAAATGATCATGCTTTTTAGATGAATCCTTAGTGCCTTCGGCAGAGCTTAGTGGATCTACTTAGTTGAGGTGTCCTATATCCCGACAAGGTATAGGATAATTCTGACAGCGTGGGCGAGACGCTGTATCATCATGTAACTCATAGTGATGGTTGTCGGTTAGAGAATCTCCTAATAGAGTTAAAGTGTATTTTTTATATATCACTTATTATGTTGAGTTCAGAGATGAGAAAATATTTTGTAAAACTTTAAATGATTCAACTTCTTTATTTCTTCACATTCAACTTGATTACATTGTTATCTATTGCAGTCTTTTCTTTGAGTTATTTGTTATTCAGCTATATTACATACTCGTACATTCAATGTACTAATGTCATTCGACCTACATCTTTTAATGATTCATATACAAATTATTAGGATCCTCAATAAGAGTCTGTTGAGATCACTCCATCCGCTCGCCTTCTTATGAGTGAGACCTCCTTGCTTTCGGAGTACTCCAATTTTATGAGTTGTTAGTAGTAGTTCTTTTGAGGAGTCGCGAGTCTTATCGCGACACTCATCTTTGTATAGTAGAGACTTCATAAATAGACAATTTTGGAGGGTCTTTCAGATTCAGATATTCTATTTAAAACTTATTTTTGATACTCAGTATATTCAGCGAAGTTTTGAGATTCAGTAAACTATTTTTAAACGTTTCTTTCAATTTGATGCTTATGAAATGCTAGAGTTAGTCTTCCGCTTGTAGTCAGCCCAGGATTAGGGTTCGGTTGAGAGCCAACAATGGTTTTCGAGTGCCGGTCACGTCCAGGGTGTAGGCACGGATCGTGACACATATACTAGTTAATTAGTCATTATAACTATAGTGACCAACATTCAGTGATAATTACGTGGGTTGGGGTTTCGAGTTTGTATAATTCGTAATATGTATAATATAATTAGTCATTATAACTATAGTTAAATTTCAGATGTTTGTGTTTGTATAAATTCATTATTTCGAGTTTATACAAAGATAACCCAATTATACAAATGTACCTGCGAATTACAAACGTACATGCGAATATACAAACTCACCCGTGAATTATACAAACGAGAAAGTTTAAATTATAGCTACAGTTTGTAATATGCAAACTATAGCTATAGAGCATAACTAAATGTACGATAGTGGCAATTTGCGAAAATTCCCCTAAACTGTATGCCATGTGTTAAACCCTTCATATTAATGATAATGTTGTCGAACAAATAAATGATCTCTCGACTGTGGAGCATATAATATTTTTAAGGATACTGTTTATTCAAAAAATGGTATAATTGAATAGTTTAAGGGCACATGAAGATTTATTAGATTGATCTTGTGAATGAAATAAGCTACATTAATAATAATAAAATATAATGAATATAAAGGAAGAAGATAATTGATGAATCCTAAAGACTGATTATTTTATTTATTTGATTTTATAAAATTCCTATTAAATAGATCATTGTGCCTACATGTAGGGGTGTACAAAATCGAACCAAAAACCGAACCAAATCGCAAATCGCAAATCGAGTCAAATTAAAAACAAAACCCGACTAGTGATTTGGTTTGACTTGGTTTGGTATTGGAAAAAACCCGACTATATTTGGATTGGTTTGGTTTTAACTAAAAAAAACCAACCCGAGACCAAACCAACTCGACATTATATATGTAATTTTAAAATTTTATTTTATACATAAAAATATTTACTTTGATATAATTTTTAAATATTTCTTATACTTTTTCATCGTTTTTATCTTTTTAATATATTATTTCAAGTTTGAAACTTAGAATTGTAAATGGTCCAATAAAGATTATAGTCCATAGATGTTGATAATTATAATAAAGCTTAAATCAAAATCAAATTAATACTAATGCAAAAAGAAAATCAATTCAACACTAAGAATGACAATAATATTGAATATTTGTTCTTTAGTTTTACATTGGCTTAGACAATTAAAATACATAATTTAATTTTAATTTCCTTTAATATTTAGTCATGTAACTAATACTTATTGAACTTATTTTAGCACGATTTAGTACTTTTAAATTATGATCATTTTACTTATGACTTGTTAATTTGTAATATTTGTTTTACGCGATTTCGTTAATATTATTTTTGTTGGATATTTTAGTGTCATTAATCATATCATATTTTGTGTTATTTTTTTAAGAAACACCTTAGATAGTTGTATTTTGGTAGGACTAAAGAAATATTTGAAGTACAAGTAAATTATATGTTTGTATGAATACTTTACCGGAAAAATCCGAAACAACCCAAAAAACCCGAAAAAACCCAAGGTTGAAAAACTCGAGTTTTATTGGTTTGGTTTGGTTTATAAATTTAAAAATCCGATACAAATGGTTTGGTTTGATATTTGAAAAACCCGACCAACCCGGCCATGTACACCCCTACCTACTTGTGTGTCATTTACTTATATAGTAGACAATTTAGTGTATAGAGTTTCTTGGTTCATACACAGAAGATTGAAATTTTCTGTCCTTATAAGTTATAAATATAAGTTCACAATCGAAGATGAAATTGGACAAACATCTTGATGATTGTAGCACAAGATTAAATATAATTTGATCTTGATTATGAGAGTGGTTTCTTTCCAACTTCTTGTGCTAGTACGCTTTTTGTGTGTATTGAACGAACCAAGTAGAGAAGCTTGTTTATGTTCTGAGTATTTACATAATATCTTCTCTAGAATCATTAAATGTATTTATACTCTTAGGGTGTGTTTGATATGTTTTCCAATTTTCTTATGTTTGGTTTGGGTAAAATGTTTTGGAAAATGTTTTCCAAATCAACTCATTTTCCTCAAATTTAAGGAAAATGACTTTCCTTCAAAAATTAAGGAAAATATTTTCCAAAACTCTCATCCAACTTCAAATTACAATTTTTTTATAGTTTTTTTTTAAAAAAAATATTTTAAACTTCAATTTTTAATTTTTTTACTCCACCCTCACCCCCTACCCCCTCCCCCCAGATTTTTTTTTAAGTTTGTTTTGAAAAAATATTTCCAATTTCAAATTTTTATTTTCATCCCACCCCCACCCCTACCCTCGACTCCCCCCCACTCCCCCCAAAAATAATTAAAAATCAAAGTTTGTTTCTAAAAAAATATTTTCAAATTCAAATTCTTATTTTTCATCCCACCCCACCCCCCGGCCAGTCCCCCTACCAGCCCACCCCCACCCCCACCCCCCAAAATATATATATTTGAAGTTTGTTTTTTAAAATTATTTCCAATTTCCAATTTTTTTTTCACCCCAACTGCGACCCCCCCCCCCCCCTCCAAATAAAATTTAAGTTTGGTTTTAAAAATAATTTCAATTTCAACTTTTTATCTTTTCGCCCCACTCCCACTCCCTCCAAAAAAATTTTAAGTTTATTTTTAAAAATATTTTCAATTTCAAAATTTTATTTTTTTAACCCATCTCACGCCTACCCCACCCCACCCTCCCCCCACCAAAAAAAATTTAAGTTTTTTTTTTCCAGTTTCAATTCAAAAATTATTCTCTACTCTCTAGTAAAAATAAAAGATATTTTCTCAAAAAAAATTTTCATTCATAAATCAAAAACTAAAAAATCTTTTCCGAAAAATATTTTCTACTCACCAACCAAACATGAGAAAATAAGTCCAAAGTCTACTTGTTTTCCAGGAAAACATTTTCCATGGAAAACATTTTCCTTCATACCAAACACACCCTTAATCTTGATATAATTATTATGATCAATATAATTTATTTGCCATCTTGATCTGTCAAAAGGTGAGACCCTACCGTGGTTCAATATATTCCTGATAGATTGGACGATAATAAATCATATTTATGAAATAATAATTAGTTGATAGAATCCATGTCTCGACCTTGAGATTGATGATACCCCTTTATGATTGCTTATAAGTTTTCATGTGAAAATCATACAGGTGGATTATATATGTATCATATCCGTCACATGAAATAAATTAAGCATAGTAATAAAGGATTAAATCAATCAATGAATTAAATTATCATAGATTTAATTGATTGGTATCAGTAATTCTAACATGCAGGGGCGGACCCACGTTGGTTCCAGGGCAAAAAATTACATTGTATATATAAGGTAATTTTCTGTATTTATGTGGATATATATTTTTTGAACCCCCTCAATGACAAGGAGAAAGAGATAGCCCAGTGGCAGGTTCCCTGAAAATTAAGCCTCATGTTGAGGGTTCGAATCCCTGCATTAGCGTTTTATTTTTTTCTTTTTCAGTTTTGTTTTCATGTTTTTTTTTTAGTTTTTTATTTTATAAAGCATGCTAAAAGTGTGGTTTTAAACCCAAAAAAATTCAAGGGTCCGCTACTAAAACTAAATATTACTACTTTCTTGAAATTTTGTTTTGTTGGCTTATATATACACGTTTATACTTTTATTTTTCGAACCCCCTGAACGAAAATCCTGGGTCCGCCACTGCTAACATGGGTAGTTAAATAAGATTAAATGTTGGATTTTGAAATTAAATCGAGGAGTGCAATTACAAATTTTTGGTGGAATAATCTGTAATTTATCACGGTTGTATTAATTCACTGATTTTCGTATTGATACCATAATTGGGACTTACTATTAAATCTATGGTCCCTACTATACCAGATTAAATATATGTATTTTGAGAAAAAAAAGAAGAGAAGATTCTAGAAGCAGAGGCGTATCCAGGATCTCAAGAACATGGGGCACCATTATCTTCAAAATAGACATTCAATTCAATTATATAAAATTTTCGGTGACAACAAGCAACAACGTTTATATAGTAATATATTAGCAAAAAACATCATTCACTTGCAATTGTCCTCGACGAGTTATCCTATTTTGAAAATGATCAATAATGACATCATTAATTACATTTTTAAATATAGTACGCTCTACATAGCAAACTAAACAACCATTCTAAAGATCTTCATCCATACGTAAATCATTCTTTATGTACTTCATTGACGAGAATGCTCTTTTCACGCTTGCGGTAGCAACATGACTAATCAAAGTTAGCTTCACAAGTAGATACACAAGTGACCAAGTTTGATCTCGTTTTGTCTCTATAATCATTCTTGCAAGATCTTTGATTCCCTTCAAGTTGAGAAACATGCTATCACACTTTTGAGCATAGACAATAAAATCGTCGAGTTGAAAATTGAATTCCCAAAGCTCTTTATCACCAAACTCACTTGGATAGTACTCGGCTAGTTTCATTATCCTATCCTTGTGAAAATTAGCAAATGAATCAACTGGACTCAAACTAGCCATACCGAGGAGTAAGTCACTAGTCACCACACCAAAATGATTATTGAGCTCTTGAAGTGTCAAATCATTGATGGCATAAAATACTTCCACACGAAAGTGATGCAAATATAAAATATTGGACCTCTTACGCTTCAATTTTTCATTAGAGTAGTCTTCATCCATTTTGGGAATTAAAATACCACGTTTACCACAAAATAAGCTAACCTCATCCTTCATAGAGTCCCATTCATCCTCTCTCATCATTTGTAATCTTTTCTTTGAAAGGTCAAGCAATCCCATAGATTTAACGATATCTTGATATTTCTTTTGTAAAACTTTATTCAACTCATTTGTCAATAGCAACACCTTAAACATCAAGTGCAACATAAAGACAAATTCAAGTTCACAAATCTTATTCAAAAGATTTTCCACTGCAAATCTATCACGATGATATAGACAATCACGTTTCATATCCTTAAGCATATTAACAATTGAATAAAAAAGAATTAGGAAATTGTCCAAGGTTTTAAAATGAGACCCCCACTGAGTATCACCCGGTCGTTGGAGGCCATGTTCTTGATTCAAACCTTTCCCTGTATGTACTTCTCCAAATTTAAGCAACTCTTCGAACTTATCTTCTTGATGTTGTCGAAGTGAATCTCTGCATTTAAATGAAGTTCCAATAGTATTCAAAATATTAGCGAGAACATAAAAATTTATCCACATCCGAATTCTTTTGGAAAGACCTACAAGTCTTAATTGCAATTGGTGAGCAAAACAGTGAATAAAATATGCAGATGGCGTATCTTGTAAAATAAAAAACTTGAGACCATTTATTCCCCTTGCATATTACTAACTCCGTCATAACCTTGATAGTGTATTTTGGATGTACATAATAAGTGATCCAAAAGCAAAAAATAAATTGCCCTTTTTAATGATTGAGAAGATGTATCATTTATATGGACAATACCCAAGAATCGCTCTATCACCATTCCACTTTTTTTGACATATCTCAAAATTAGAGCCATTTGCTCCTTATGAGAGACATCCTTTGATTCATCAACTAATATTCCAAAATAATCACTGTCCAAGTCTTCAATGATAGTCTTAGTTGTTTCTTTAGCACAAGCCTCCACAATATCTTTGTGAATTGTCGGACAAATCATCATATTATTTTGTGGAGTATTACCTAATATTATTCTTCCCATATCAAAATTTCTATCCCCATACCATTTCAAAAGTTCAAGAAAAGCACCTTTATATTCAGAACCTTCACTTTCATCATGTCCACAAAATGGAAATCCCGATGTCAAGAGAAATCTTGCTACATCAATTGAGGCATTTAAACGCATGCGATAATCACTTCTTGCCTTTTCACTTTGCTTGCCAAGATAAGATTGAATCGATTGACGTTGGTTTATCAAATCTTGCATCCTATTGAAACATTTATGATGGATACTATTTACCTTACCAACATATTTTTTGAATCTTTCTAGAGCTTTGTTCCAACGCCTAAAACCATCTCTTGTAAATGAATCTCCAGCATTTCCACAACTTTCAAGTTCATTTTTGAACAAATAACAACAAAAACAAAATGCCGCGTCTTCTTTAATGCTATATTCCAACCATTGAGATCTTCTCTTAAATTAAGTTGGTTGAAATTGACGCATTTTATCTCCAAACTTAGTTTTAGGGAAGAGATAATCAATAGGTTGACATGACTTTTTTTAAATGTAATACCTCCTTACCGTATCTCGAATATTAGGACTATAAGATGAAATAGGTATTCAGTATTTGGGATCTACTTCAAGAGATTTAAAATCAAGCATATTATCCGTATTTGAAAGTGGAAAAGAATTTGCATGGTTTGAACTTCCGGAGCTACTTCTAAACTCACCAATGGTTGACTAGAGCTAGAACTTGGTTGACCATCTTTTGGCTTTGGTAACTTGATGATAAATTTATCCATTTTCGATTTGATGATTTGAATGTAAGAATTATTTTACCTACAAAATTAAATATTTACACTTCTATTTAATCTTATCAAACAAAATAATTTTTTGAAAATATTAGCACAAATAACAAGTTTATTAATAAAAGAATCACAATTATAGATAACTATTTAGAAATCAAAAAGTTCTTATAAATTCAAAATATTCAAGCAATCAAATAATGACACCACTTCATAAATCAAGAAAAACATATAATACAAATAAAGTACATTAACAAATAAAATTGATTCTTTTTAGATAGCATACCTTGTGTTCTCAAATCTCACTTCTACTTCACCATGAACAACAAAGTGGAATGGAGCCAAAACACGAACAATATGATGTCTTTACTCTTTTTCACTTTTTAGTTTAGGGCTTTGAAAAGTCAAAATATAACGACCTAATTCCGTCGTTATAGAAAAGTCAGCGGGGAAATTTTTTGGTCTGGAAAACTTTTTGGTAATAACTTGAAATTTCCTAGCCTAGTCCAGATTTGGACGAAATCGAAGTCAGTGAGGTCTAGGGAAATTTGGTAACAAACGAGAGGTTAATATGGAATGCAATTACATGAGTGGATAACTAAGACGTTAAGAAACCCGTACGACTTTACAGAATCGAATTTGAGTATGTAGAACTCCCAAAACTGATCTTAGCGTGAAAGGGTAATTTTAGAACGTCCTGGTTTGAATGTGTGTTGTGAAATGGGAACTTGGAACTCAAGTTTTGAGGTTCTGTCTCCATGCAAGCCGCCAGAGCAGGGCAACTGTAGCGGGTCAGTAACGACTTAAGTCATAATTAAATCCCAAAAACGTTATTTTTCTGCAAGTTTCGTTCCTGAGAGCTAGGAGACGATCCCAGGCGAGTTCTTGATAGTTTTCCACGAAATTTGGTGCTAAAGGTAAGAAATTTACTCCCCTAATCCCTTTTTTGATTCGTAGAACTTAGAATATTGATCATATATTATTGGGGTAGGGTTTTGAACTGAATTGGATGGTGGGAAAAAGCCCTAGCTGCACATTAGGATCATGAGTTGGGTCTTTGGTTATTGGGTTTGTTATAGTCCGGTTAATTAGACCTTTGATTGTTGATCCTTGCGTATATTAACTGTTTGTAGACCTAGAATAAGCGGGAATAATCCGGAAAGGGAAGATTCAAGTGCCTTAGGGGATTCAAGCTTGGATTCGATGTAGGTGATGGTTGTGATTTCATGTTTGCGTGATGTATGTTGGTAATTACGTCATTGTAATGCATGTATGTGTAACACCCCAGAATTTTTTTTGAATAGAGACTCGAAACGTTCTTCTTAGTGAGTGAGATTTTACGAAGTAATTAAAAATTTCTTAAGTGTTAAGGTCACTAGATGTAGCACCTTGAGTTCCAAGAAGAACTAAAGAGATTTCACTCAAGTCATTCCTAAGTTCTTCTAAGATTTGGATCAACTTCAAACGACCATAACCTTTTGTACAAAATGATATAGGTGGGCTACAAGGTATTGAATGAAAGTTTGTTGAATTATCTTTCCAACACCACTGAGTTTGCTAAGTTTCGAGTTCGTATGAGTGAGATGTGCCCTTTTGAAGTCAAGTTGTCCAGTTAAGGAAAGTTACCCGAAATAGTAAGGGGTATTTTGCTCTTTTCCTTATCCAATCAGGTTTAATTCATTTTTAGTAAGGTTTTAGGGGTATAAACTGATTAGTTTTAGTTTTATAATCCTAATCTACGCTTAGGGTTTTAGTTGAGAGTTCAAAGAAGTGAAAAAAAGGAGAATAGAGGAGAGGATCAAAGCATTCATCGAGGTTCTTGAGTTTTGCTGTGGATTTTCGCCATGGGTTTGATCCCTAAGAGGTATGTAAGCTTCCATAGTGTTGGGTTTGTTCACCCACTCGCCAAATATGTTATTTTCAACATTAAATTCATTCTAGAAAGATGAAGGTTTGATGTTCTTGAATCGTGTTCTTAAAATTGGCTATCGTTCTTGTGTTAAGATGATATTGATGAGTTCTTGAGGAAATTGCGTCGATTTTAGAGTTGTGTTTGATTAGATTCTTGGGTACATATATTGGGTATCGAAATCTAAAGAGAAATTGAGGAAAAAAAATCAAATTTAGGTGAATTGGGGTTAGAAAACGAGGAAGAAAAAGTCGGACAATGAACATGTACCAGGTCTGCGTCGCTGACCTGTTCCTTCAGTGTGAAAATTTTCTCTCCGCGTCGCGGACTTTACTATTTCAAAAATTATTTCGACCAAACATTTTAATTTATCTCCGCGTGGCGGACTTGCTCCCCAGATAGTGTTTTTCAACCGATTCTCATGTTTAACTATCTAAAAGAACTACTAAACATCACGAGATCTTTCCTATCACAAATCACAACCTTGAATTCATAAATCAAATTCAAGGTAGAGTTGAGAGTCAAGTTTTTGAGAGTTGTTTCAAACATTTTTTAGAAAGTCCCTCTTAAGTCTTTTTGAGGAGTCTTCTACAATTTCTAATGACTTGTTTCAAGACTCGAGTAAGTGAGTATGAGAATGAGGAGAATGTATTCATGAGTCTACTTTTTCATCACGAGATCCTTCATATCATGAACCATAACTCTCGAATTCATAATTCACATTCAAGAGAGAGTTAAGAGTAGAGTTCAAGAAAGTCTGAGTTCAATTGTGAATCCTTTGAGATCAACTATCAATTTGAGATAAGTTTTGAGGAAGTAAGTATAAGAATGAGAAGAGTCGGATACATGAGTTCCATATTGTTATGTAGACCCTCGAGTCGAGTCGTTCATCCCCATAAATTCCGCATGAACTCCATAAGTTGAGTATCTTTGAGAGGAATAGTATATTTAAGTTCTAAGTCTTAAGTATTGAGTTCCTAACCCTTCTGAGATTATATTCCTAATCATGGAACTATTACATGTTACCCATGAAGTCCTTCAGTTGAGCAGTTCATGCCCATAATTCTGCATGAACCATATGAGTCGAGAAATCTTGAGATGAAGAGTATCGTTGAGTCCTTGAGTTGAGTTGTTCATGCTTATAATTCTGCATGAACCTTATGAGTTGAGAATTCTTGAAATGAGTAATATCATTGAAGTTCTTAAGTTTTGAGTTGTTGAGTTCTGAGTATCGAGTTCTTTGTATGGTTATTAAAAACCTTAAATTGAGTCGTTCACGTCCATCATTTGGCATGAACCCTATTTTGAGAAGTCTTTTACAACTTTTTTCTAAACTTGTTTTAAGACTTGAGCACTTCAGTTGAGAAAAAGTTGAGTCGAGTTCATTTTCCTTAAAATGATATATGGGAACTAAGTATTCTCAAGAGTAAATGTTTTCACATTTAAAAAATGAGTAAATTGAGATTTCCCAAAGAGTTTTGAGCAGTTGAGTAACATCTCTTTTTAGAGAAAGATTTTGAGTAATAATCTCAAACCACAGAAAAAGTTATGTTTTTAAACATATGAGCTGAGTATATTTTGGGAGTAGTATTGAGCACCGATATGGGACGAGTTCAGATAACTCAAGTCTCCATAAACCATGTAGTCGACGTGGGTAGAAAGGGTCATACTATTTAGATGATTCCTTAGTGCTTTTTAGCACAGACTAGTGGATCCACTTAGTTGAGAGGTCTTATACCTTGGCAAAGTATATGACAGTTCTGGCAGCGTGGGTGAGACGCTGTATCATCACATAACTCATAGTGATGGTTGTCGGTTAGAGAAACTCCCAAAGAGTTATATTGTATTTTTATATACATACTGAGTATTGTTGTATTTTTGAATACATTGAGTTACTATCTACAGTTTTACAACTTTTCATATATATATATATTGCATATTTTACTATTGCTTTATCCTTGAGTATCATGAGTTGTGTATTTTGAGTTGAGTACCTTCGAGTTGAGTATCTTGAGTTGAGTATCTTGAGTTGATCTGTGCTTCATTGTGTCAAGTACCTTATTGTTGAGTTTCACTAAGTTAAGAACCTTATTACTGAGTTAAGTATCTTATCCTTGAGTACTTCTGAGTTGAGTAAGTTTGAGTAGTTTTGAGTATCCTTGAATATTCCTTGAGTTGAGTAAGTTCGAAAAGAGGTAAGTATGTTTCCATTTTATCAAGTTCAAGCTTATATTTATGCTTTAGAATTTCCTTTACATGCTCGTACATTCCACATACTGAGCCATTTGGTCTGCATTGTTTCATGATGCAGATGCAGGTATTCAGGATCATCAACCGGAGCTTCATTGATACCATATACAGTTCGAGTTAGCTATGGTGAGCCTCCTTGCTTCCGAAGGGTTCCACTTTTACTTTCACTTATATCAGTTGTTAGGATGTCGTGGGTCTTGTCCTGACTTCCATCTTTGTTATTTAGAGGCTTCATAGATAGACTGTAGAATTTCAGAAGTCTGTTCATTTATTTTGTTAAATATTTGGAAGACTCAAGTTGC